GAGCCACATCTTCATTTCTTAAGGTATTTTATTCTCCTGATATGTTTGAGGAGCTACAATAATGTAATATGGTTTTGTAACTGATCGAACATGTATACACAGGGTATTAATTCATGGATCAGTGTCCAACTGCAGTTCTCTTACAACAGATTTTAGAACTCTATTCTTGATCTTGACTGTTTAGTGTTAATTTACTAATAACTTGGGACATAATCATGGTAATTAAGTAGAGGTAATTAAGCAGGCGTCCTCAAACTACAGCCCACAGGCCACATGTGGCCCGCCCAGGACATTTATCTGGCCTGCCAGGTATTTTTGCCGCCTCTGCCTGTCCTGCTTAGCAGCCGACTCATCCTGGGGCCTTCAGTCTGGCCCTCCAGTGGTCTGAGGAACAGTGAACTGGCCCCCTGTTTAAAAAGTTTGAGGACCCCTGGCTTAAAGGATACTTCCTATGACAGAGGACAGAGACATGATTCAAAATGATCGTAATAGTTTAGAAGGATAGGCTAAAACCAGTAAGGTGAAATTTAAAAGGGTTGAATATAAAGCTCTGCCTTTGACCTCTAAAATCAGTTGAGGAAAGAATGTGAGGGTTCTCTTAGAAGGATGATCGTTGGATGTAGGCCCACCCAGATAATCCAGGACGATCTCATTTTGAGACTTTTAACTATGTCTGCAAAGCCTCCTTTTCTGAATACAGCCACAGTCATAGATTCCAGGGATTTGAAATGGATATTTTGGGGTGGGGGCACCCCACTACCTTTGTAGTGTAGTTCACTACAAAAAGAACTTGCAGGCATCATTTGCATGGCTTTGCGTCCCTTGTTCCTTTCCTTCTCACAGCCTGCTGCTATGGCTCAGGGTCACCTCAGTACTGCCTGTTTGGTTTTGAGAGGTAGGGGAGGGCTAAATGTTCAGAGAGCAAGAATGGCCAGGTGGGGGTCAGACTGGTTATGAAGGGGTCTGTGGAACCAAAAACCCAGGCTTTGGGGCTGCCCCAGCCTCCCTCTAGCTTCACATGTTCCTTTGTCAATCGTATCATTTCCTTTAGCTGCTAAAAACTCTGTGGTGTCATCTCCCCATGGTTTCAAAGCTCCTGCCTGTTTTTCGGTCCTCAGATTTGATCCTCAATCTCTCTATTCCAGCCACACTGGCCTTCCTGAGTCAAAAAGGCCTTGTTCTTGAGCAAGCCAAGCTCATTTTTTTTTTTTTTTGAGACAGAGCCTCAAGCTATCCCCCTGGGTAGAGTGCTATGGCATCACAGCTCACAGCAACCTCTAACTCCTGAGCTCAAGCGAGTCTCCTGCCTCAGCCTCCCAAGTAGCTGGGACCACAGGCGCCCGCAACAACGCCAGGCTATTTTTTGGTTGCAGCTGTCATTGTTGTTTGGCAGGCCCAGGCTGGATTTGAACCTGCCACCTTGGGTGTATGTGGCTGGTGCCTTAGCCACTTGAGCCACAGGCACTGAGCTGCCAAGCTCATTCTTGCCTCTGAATCATTACACTGGCTGTTGCTTTAACTGAAACACTGTTCCTTTGACTCAGTTCACACCTCTCTGACCACAGCTAGGAAGGGTTCCCCACTTTTAAAGCATTCATATGATTAGGATGGACTCACGTGGATAATCTCTCCATCTCAAAGTCCTTAATGTTAGTCGCATCTGTAACATCCTTTTGCCATGTAAGGTAACAAACATATTCACAGGTTCTGGGGATTAGGACATGGACATCTTTGGGAAAAGGGGGTTAGGGAGGGCATTACTCTGCCTACCCCAGCACTTATTACAGAGGATCACCAGAGTAGTGAAGAGCTCAAATTGGATACAGACAATCAGACTAAGAAGAATTGAAGATGATCCCAAAATTTATTGCCTGGGAGAGAAAAAGATAATGTTTATAAAGGGATTCATGCAGTAAGTGTATAATAAGTGGTTGCTGCTTCAAAGGATAATGATACAAGTTACAGAAATGCAGTAACTCAGAAAGGAAAAGAAGCTTAGAGAAGTGGAAGGCGATGAAGCAACATAACACTTGCAGAGAACAGAATTTGGGATCCAAGTTTTCACTTTATGTTGGATCGGCCAGTGGTTTGCATGTCAGGAAGTACTGAGTCTACCAAGAACTCTTGTTTCTCTCAGAAGTAAGAGTCAGGGAGAATAGTAAGGAAGCAACTCCCTGGCCTCTTTCTGCCACAATTGCACCATTTATAGATTCTGAAGAGAAAGGGAAACTTTTATAAAAAGAAGGCAACATATTTGAAACTCATAGAAATGTTACTTTTTCCTTTTCTTTTTTTTTTCTGGGAACATATGGGAAACAAATCCCTTCTAAAACTAAAGCCCAGCCATGAGAGATTATGAGATTTTTCAGGCTTTTCCTATAATCTTTCTTACATTTGTCTCTTTAAACACATTTAACTTGACCTTTGAAAAGTTGCTGATAAGCGGTTATCAAACAAGAGTTAAATTAACAAACCCTCCCACCTTGCTTGGTTGGGTGGTAGCTTCCAAGGCCACTGTAAATGTGTATCAGCAAATCCAGAAACAGCCAGGAAGGGAACAAAGTTTAGTCTGTGAGTAAACAGTCGGCTGCCCAGCAGTTTCACGCTGTCCAGTAGTTTCATGCTGTCCAGACTTCAGGTCTAGGTAAGTAGTTTTTTTTTTTTTTTTTTTTTAACTATTATGACATTTTAATGTAATAATGACTATGAGAATAATTTCCACATAAGATTAAATCAAGTTTCTACCTGGCTCTAAATCTTGTGTACTAGACCAACTTAAAGTTTCTTTCTGCCTGTAGACAGGAGGATGGAATAAAAAAAGAAAAAAGTATATATTAAAAAAAAAGTTTCAATATTCACAAGTAGTTTTATTTTTAAAAAGGAAAAGGAAAGCCATGAAGTTTTGGAGCAAGTATTCTGCTAAGACCAGTCCTGTTTGAGTGGAGTGATTTTTAATGTCTTTTTAAAATTACTTACGTTGGGTGAAGATGTTTATAGTTAGAAATTAAAAATGAGTGAATATACAACTAGTGCCTAGAGACTGATATTTTTCTAAGTAGTACTTAGGTTTCTGCACTTGAGGCCAAATGTGGCCTTGTGGATCCCTGACTATGGCCTTTCGACTGAATCCAAATTTTACAGAACAATTCCTTTTATAGATTTGTAACGTTTGGATTGGGTGGAGGAATCACACTTGAGGATCTGGAGGGCCGCAGGTAGCCTTGAGGCCAAAAGTTTCCCACCCCTAATAGATTCATGGTATCAATTTATGTTAGCAAACATTTAGTAGTCTCTCAGATAATAAAACTGACGGTTTTTGATGGTCAAAGAAATTAAATAAATGAGAATAAAGTCGAATTTAATACACCATAACAAGATGTTGAGTTCCTAGATTTAAGAGCCGGCAGAATGTTATTTTCAGAGAAGGAACTTTGTGAAACGGATCAAGGTGGCAAGCAGCCTGAGAAATTTTATGCAACTTAAGAGAAACCTGGTTTTTCTTTTTTTAAAAGATTCTAACATCTGTACTGATTTTTCACACTAAATTCCTTGTACTGTGGTACGTAAAATGTTTCATATTTGAAATTAGAGTTGCCATGTTTCAGCTGTTCTCCTCTGTGTAGAGATTAGGATCCAGGAACTACACATTGTTACACAAACATATTGACTTTATGGAGTGCAGCTATGAGAAAGTTAAGGTTGCACTTGGTGTTGAGATTTTCTATTTCCCTTCTACCACAATGTATTTAAAAAATGACTCCCGGTACATGATAATTTTATGAGTTTTGAATACAGAAATAAAGTTTGATGGGATTAATACTTAAAAGTTCTAAAGGCTGGCTCTTAGCCTGAGCCTTTCGAATTGCTCAGAAGCGCTGAAAAGAAAGGTTGTTTATACAGAAGGTCACTGGGTTTCCCCTTCCTCTGAATTCACCTCAGACCTCAGGGATATTCAGTCTATTTCTTTATCCTCCTTCTTATTCCTGCTTTGCTGTGCGAGAGCCCAGATGGTGGTACTGGGCTCCAGCTGACTCTTAGGGAGGTGGAAGCCCAGAACACACTGTGCTAAGCAGGCTTTGGGGCTGTAATGAAGTGAAAACCCCTACTCCCCCTTTGAATTGTGGAGTCTTGCAGAGTCTCATGGAGTCTCTCTGATTCTGGGTTCCTGAGCTGATAAACATCTCCAAGTAATAGCTTCTGCTGGGCCATGGAGCAGAAGTAGGTGGGGAAAAGGGATCCTAGGAGAGAAGCCAGCATGACAGGTGACACTGTTACTAGGAGAACAGCTATTTCCTCAATAAATTTGAAATATTTTAGTCATTTAATGACCTGGAAGGCCATCCAGGTGTGTACTGGCTGAATCATAACCAGTCCCTTTGGGATTATTTTTAAACCTCTAGTAGCTGCTTGTAACATCCAGACCATTGTCCATGCCCTGCACGATCGGCTTCTGACCACGTTTTACCTCGTTGCCTACTAGTGTTCTCCTCGCTCAGGTCACTCCAGCTGCACAGGGCTTTTTGCTATTTCTTGAACACATCAAGCTGGTTTTCTGACTTAGGACCTTTGCTGCCTAGAAACCTCTTCCCTGCCTTCCTTCAAATCTCTACTCATATGCCTCCTCCTCAGAGATGCCTTCCCAGGCTGCCCTCACTAAAACAGTACTTTATTCCA